CTTTAAGAGTACCTGTACAGCTATGTGTCTGCATTATCCTGATTTTTTTGCACTGCGATGGCCATTTTCATCAAGTAGCCCCTTAACATGGGTCAACACATCAAACCCCCCCCACACACACACCCAAAAAAAAAGAAACCCCACACCAACAAAGCACCACGCGGATGTGAACTAGCACTATTAAAAACAATGACAAACCTTTTTTGCATGCATAAACATGTTTAAATGCATAGATGTGAATGGGCCCCAAAAGAAACAGCCATTTTTATTGATCAATGCATTAGAAGCAAGAAAAACAATAAGAGTAACTGTCAACAGGTTTTAAGAGTCTAAATAGTAATAGTGTAAAGCTGAGAAGAACAGAAACTTTCTGATAATTGCGTTGAAAAAGCATAAGCTTGGCTAAAGGGAAACAAATAAACCACACCATTCTTCACTCTTGAAATCCATCTCATTACAAAATTAGTATATCATTAGAGACATGTTTAATTAGTCAAGTCATTCAACCAAGGTGAACTGTGTCTTTCTTGGAAAAAGCAAATGCGCAAATGAGACCTAAAATTATTTCACTTGTCTAATCTAATTTAACTTAATGTATTTAGAATGTGTGTCTACAGCCAGTTTTCTGCTCCCTAAATTTTTTTTAAAACAATTACGGCTTCCCTACAAATACAGTTCATTAATGTCACAATAATAGTAAATGCTGCTTTTCATACATTATAAAGATCAACCTCATGACATGTGCTCTTATCGCTATGCTTTAACTAGCCCAACAGTTGTTATTTCCATACATCAGTAAAATGGTTTATTTTAACCTCTTCTTTCCTGCCATGTGTATGGTAGCGTTTATCTGCATCATGCCCCATGCTGGGGATACATATATAAAAATTCTCCCTTTGGGAACCACCAACCAAAACTTGTGGCTGGTGGTTCTCAATCTCAGCTATCATAAAACAACTCTGGTCCTTAGTGACAACTGTTAACCAATCAAAGAGGTTCCTGATAATCTGATCACTACTTCGGCTATGACCTAGCACAGGGCCGGACAAATCCCAGTAGCCAATGCTCCTTACAATTTACAGCTCTCCCCTCTTTTGCAGGTTTTATCTAGTTGTCAATGGAGCTGGCTCCTTGATTGGACAGACTGGCTCCTGAATTCCATATTGATTATTCTACCGAATGATAAAGGTTGGCGGCTTTACTGACAAAATAAGACTTCAGCCAATAAATGAACACTACCACCTACAGCCTTCCAGTCTACAGTGACATCTGCAGAGCCATCTATTTAACATTGTAATTGTCAGACGGAATAACGGTATTAAAAAAAAGCCAAACAAAATGCAAATACACTAAACAAAAACAATTTAGGTTAACTGACCATGCTGACCCTGCTAAATCTGGTCTTGGCACCAAGGCATAGATAACCACTGGGCATAAAGGGGTTACTCATTTACCTATTGTATTTTCAGTACTGTTTACAAATTTCATTGAAATAGTAATACATTTCATTAATGTCCATTAATTACATCTGATAATCCAATTTAATGGACAACATATTGGAAGCTAGTAACCATGGTTATAGTGGGAGTGTCCTGGTCCTGCTAAATTCAAATGTAAACATACAAACAGAAACCAGCCTTACTATAGAACACAGAGTATGCATAAAGATAACAGGAGGAAAGGCTAATGCCAGTGCACAAATTAACTGATTTATGCAGAGTGAAGTATACAGAAAAGGTGAATCTTTACAGGGCTCCATAGGCAACAGGATCAGTTTTTCTATTCAAAAATCATTTTGATAGTGCTTTATACGGACTGTTCTCTCATGACTACTTGTTGCATGCTTATGAATGGATATTTGGTTAATTTATCATCTTTGTGTGGGTCATGTTTTGTAAACACAACACAAAGCTGAAATCTTAAAAGGAGAACTATGAGGTGAGTGCTTTTCACTCACCTCATAGTTCTAGCTGACCTGTGACAATGAGACTGTCACAGGTCAGCTCAGTAGATCGGCAGGTGAGCGAACACATACCGGGTTCGCTCACCTCTCGATCCTGTCACGGCTCTCTGCCCGCTCTGATCTGCCAGCGCTGACTGGCGGAACGGACGGGGGAGGGTACAGCTAGCTCTGCCTCTAGATAGGCAGAGCCAGCTGTCACTCACGCAGCTGGGCGGATCCCGTCGTCTAAGTCGGGATCCGCTCCGGCTTTTCAGTATACCGCGAGCTGTAGCTCGCTGTATACTGAGCTTAGGGTAACGGGAGGACGCTAGTTTGTGTCCTCCCGTTACCCTAAGGAGAACTATGGGGAAAAACACTGACCCCATAGTTCTCCTTTAATCACTACAGGAAATACGCAGCTGCCAGTATACAGCACAGCAGCTGAAATTGTAAGTACCAAGTTTTGGGGGGATTTGTACACATAAAGAAGGAAACTAATAGGAGAACGTAGACAAAGAAGAATACATTGTACTTGAAATGGAATGAAAAGAAAGAATTTGAAAACATCTGTTTATATTTGTAGAAAAGGTGCTATCTGGCTGGGTGCAATATTGTGGAAATGTGGGACATGTGCCATGTGCGCAGTGGGTCTAGTATCTTGGCAGGAACCCACACAACCTCCTTAATTAAAATAACATGTTATAGTTGTGTTTGTTCTCACACTGTGGCACGGAGAAAACACTACAATGAAGAAGCAAAATGGCTTTACTTGTCTGTATGCATCAGCCACAAAACAAAGTTAAACATTTGTTACATATGATAATGGGTGTAATGTCACCAGAGGACATTGAGCGAACCTGAAGGAAAAAGCTATTTAAAGAGCAGCTAATGCAGGAACTATAAACTGGATTTATGAATCGGAGGTATTGATGTAAAGCAATTATGTAGTATTGAAAATACTGATAAACTCATTGCATTAAAAGAAATGTTTTTTTTTTTTTTTAAAAACAACAACTGCTTGGGTGTTTTGAATAGACTGATTACAGTGGTCAGGAGACAAAAACTTTCAAAAAAGTTATATGGGTACAGTAGCTCTAATGAAATAAAAATTAATAAAACAATGGTATCTATAGAATGGCATTGCAGTATTTGATATGATGTAGGCACAAAAACGGGAAAACTACATCATCTAGACCAGATAAAACCCAAAAGCAGCAGGATGGGGCCCTTTCTGTTGTACTTCATAAAAATATTATAAAACTAGGTGACTAACATTTTATTTGGACATACTTGTGCAGTTGCACAGCAGCAGTAAGATGTAGATATACTGTTAGTGGTCATTAAATAATTATAAATGTAAATAACTTAATTGCATCTGACTCTCCTCCTTTCCCCTCTCAGGTTAACAATATACTTGTACTTGCCTAAGATCAGCAGGATACCTGGTCCAAGAGCCACAGTCTGTTTTTTGTCAGCCAGTATAATGGCATATGGGTGGCTCTTCTCTATTGGACCTAATGGAAAAGCTGTCTAACTGTATCTTGACAGAGAAAGGATTTTCCATGTAGTTGTATAAAGAATAGGCATTGCATGCACAGCACTGAGGCACCATCAGAACAGAATCAACATAGGCTAAGGCTCCTGAACCAGGTTGCCTGCTGGTCTAAGGCAAGTGCAAAGGATCATAGTTACTATGGGGATGGAGAAGGGAGTCAGGTATAATTAGGGTATTTGACTGTATAGTTATTCTTTAGGTGGTTAAACATGAGGACATAGAATGCCTTACTCACAACAATATTAATGTCAATTAAAAACACATTGTCTTCAGTGTAATATCTTTGCTGGAGAAACTGATAACACTGAAAAGGCAGATATACGAGCAACACCTACCACTAGATCGTACTCCCATAGCTGATTACCCCTCAAATGGTGGCACTTAAGCATTATGACTGGGCCATTAAGCTTGGAGACGTCTAAGCATAAATCATCTGTCCGGATTTCTTTGCTAGCAGTGTATGAGAAGACCTAAAACAAAACAAAAATATGCAAAATGTGTCATTTTCTTTTGAGAGCGATTAAATGTTTTGCAACATTTTGCAAAGCTACCACATGTAACATTGCTAGCAGGCATCATTAACTTATGCCTACACTGTTTAAATGCCACCACAACAGGGTAGGAAGGCTTTGAACTTCTGACAATGTTTTTATTGCCGTCTGTGTGTTCCAGTCTTGACGACAACCATTTCCTTATTTCTTGTGCTAATGTCTCAAGACAAGTGAAGGGAAAGAAAAAATCCCAGTGAGGCCACAGATAACATCTGTTAGAATATTGAAGTGTAAGAAATAAAAAACCTATTTAAAACTTAAAAAAAAAAAAATCCAAAAAAAAAAAAAAGGGATGTAGTGAACATATTCAAAACTTATAAAAGTATCTTCCAGTCAGGATATTGATCCAGTTATGAGTTTCTTAAAAATTAATTTCAACTGTAATAAAAGTGTGGTTTCCTTGCAGTTTCCTCAAGTTCCTAAGTAGCTGCGGAGAGGTAAATTTTGGATAAATTATAATCTATGACTTGTCACAAGCTGCCTGCCCATTGATATGCAAGAGATACCCAACCTAAAACCAATTTGGGCTCGTAAGCATGTGTGATGGCAAGAAAATTTGCATCCTTCAAGAACCGGCATCTTTGCTATTTTATTTTCAGAGTGGCTCAACAAGCAACTGGATACATAAATAGGATAAATCTTTATATATGAAAAACATTTACTTACAAGATATATCACCAAACCTACAGGTCCTAGTCTACCAGTTTCAGCAAGCGTGCAACAAATTTAAGTCAGATAGATGTTGAGATTTTCTATTAGTATACTCGTTCTGGGTCAGTAACCTAGAAAGCACCAAAGTTAAAGTATAAACTTTCAGGGACCTAGGAATTTTAGAGAGATGTACTTCCTTGAGTCACAACTCACAGAGCCTGTCTTCTGAAGTACAACTGAATCCGAGTATTTGGGCGAGTACTCGTACTCACCCAAATGGTCTGATGCCTAGCACGAGTACTTCCGGTATCATGTAGCCGGGCAGCGCGTCATTACACGCTGCCCGGGTTCCCGATTGGCCAGGAAGCGGCTCCATGCTTTCTCGTCACTTGTGATGAGAGAGCATAGAGCAGACTCCCCGGCCAATCAGGAAGCTGGCTCCATGCACCCTCGTCCTCGTGAGGCCATGTAATGACGCGACACCCTGCTTTCTGATTGGGCGGGAAGCTGGCTTCATGCTCCGTCATCTCATGAGAGCATGGAGCCGGCCTCCTGGCCAATCAGAAAGCAGGGCGTCGCGTCATTACACAGCGCCCGGCTTCCCGATTGGCCGGCCAGACGGCTCCGGCCGGGTACCGGAGAAAGGCTGCGTTGTCAGGCTGGACATACCAAGGTAAGAGGGGACTTTGTTAATCGGGAAGCCGGGTGGCGGGTCTTTACACGCTGCCCGGCTAATCAGGAAGCGAGTCATTACATGCCACCTGGCTTCCTGAATGGGACTTGTTACTCGGTAAGTGGTATCGGCGAGTACCCAAATTTTTTTTTACTCGGTACAAAAATACCGGTATCGGTGCATCCCTAATTATCATCATTACTTGCTGCAAGCAATGCAATATTGGCTATGTAATCCTGAGAAAAAAATCGAGACTGCACTACATCAAGCAGCACAGAAAGAGATGAAAAGCTCACTAGGAATTCAGGAACTTGTTGAAAGTGATGGGCAGACAGAAGGCAGCACTCACTACATAAAAGGTATTTTTTTCAAGTAAGCTTTGATTGCATTATCAAACGCCTATAATATGTATTGGCTAGGGAGGGCGCCTGTACGCCCTCCCTAGCACATGCCTACTCTGCCCAATGGTAAATCTGGCCCTGTAAACCCTAACAATTAACTTCTCTTACGTACTCTCGTCTGGTCTGCTGAATATGAAAGTGTTTTGTTATATCTGTTCGACCATATCCAATACTAGTTGATTTTGCCAGAAAATTTGTGAGCGGATAAATTCCTTTGCTCGCTCTGTGCAAGGTGTTATGGAGATTGGGGTGGGGGTGGGGGTGTAGCTTAGTCCCCCCTAATGCATATCTACATTTACATTAGGGGCACTAAGCTACACCTGTGATTGCAAAGCTTTACTGAAAACTGCTTGAACACACTTCCTTTGGGTCCTCATGCTTTCAAAGATGTAGATAGTGTTAGGGGGAACAGAGTGAAACCATGAGTTGCCTGGTGCTGCTGGATGTCGTTGGCAGTTTTCCAAAGCCGATTGCGGTAAAACCGGAGCGCAAACAGAAGTCAAACAAGGGGCTATGCATTTATAAAGTTGTGTGTGTTATATGGCTGTTTAATGTGCATTTATTTGTTTATTCGTTTTTCGGTAACCTTCCACTTAAAAGATATGGTATGTGAATTTTTCATAACCATTTACAGCAGAGAAATACCTGCGACATGCTTTTAGGTATTATAAGATACAAAGTCTTACCTGGTTTCCTCCCATTCCGTGGCAGTTAAAAATTCCAACTTTTTCACTTTCTTTTCTTGCCATATTGTCCAAACACTGATTGGTCTCCACATTTCTAATCTGAAAGAAAAAAGAGAAAAGAATAAGTAAATGATATTGATGAGCAATAAAATGGATTTTGTTTAAAAAAAAAAAAAAAAAAAAAAAAAAAAAAAAAACATGTCACAACCTCATTTTTTTTTTTAAAAAAAAAAAAAAAAAAAAAAGTAAAAAAATCTGTCACAAGCTCACATTGTCTATTATTTAAAATAATGGACAGAAAATCAATCAACAAACCAGAAAAAAAACACATGATACAAATGTATAAATTGAGTTGCAGTTCAGTGAGTAAAATAAGTATTTGATCCCATACCAACCAACAGACTGGCTATGTGGTACACAGATTAGTCCTGTCAATTTAAGAAGGTGCTCCTAACGACAACTTGTTATGCATATAAAAGACACCTGTCCGGGGCGCTAGCGAGCAGCCGATTAGCATGGACGTCTGCTAAAACGGCTCCGCACCACCTGGGCGTGTGATCGATTTTAAATCCGATCATCTCCTCTCCTACCTATACCCCACCTTACCCCCCTGGACCGTCCGGCAACGCCATGGGCAAAAATCAACCGCCGGCCCGGTCCCAGCAGAAGACGCTGGGCTCCTCAAAATCACGGCCTGAACCCAAAATGGTGGCCGCTCCGGCCTCGCCGGACGGCCACTCGCCTGAGCTGCTAGAGTCAGCAAACGACTCCTCCAACGATGGATTCTCCCCTCAGCCTCCAGAGTCGCAGCAGGGGACCGAGGTCAGAGACGCAGCCATCCTGGACAAATTTAAGGTACTCCAGCAGAGGGAACTGAAAACTGCAACTGACAAGCTGGCCACACACTTATCCAAAGACATTAGGGAGCTGGGCACCAGGATCCACGATATTGAATACAAGGTGGATAACATTGTCGCAGTAATTGACTCTCATGAAGAAGACCTACACAATGTAAAATCTGAACTTTCCACCGCCCTGCTTAAAGTTGAGGACCTGGAAAACACAAACCGCAGAGGAAAATCTTTGCATTAGGGGGGTACCCGAACACGTGGCTGATTTGACATCCACCGTCACGGCCATGTTCCAGGAACTAGTCCCGGGCTACCCACTAGAACGCCTCAAACTGGATCGTGTGCATCGCGCCCTGGGCCCAAAGAGGGTTAATGGACCCCCCCGCGACATCATACTCAAACCCACCTTCTATAAAACGAAGGAAGCTATCGCACAGGCCGCATGGAAACAACGTAACCCTGCGCTTCCAGGACTTGGAGTACCAGATATACGCAGACCTGGCGCCGCAAACCCTCCTGAAACGAAAAGCTTTGAGGCCCTTCCTCATCACTCTGCAACGCCATGCCATCAACTATAAATGGGGGTTTCCATTGAAGGCCACCTTCACCCACGACGGCTGGTCATACTCCTTCTCCTCCCCCGAAGAAGCAGGGCCCCTCCTGGAACAACTGCAACTGTCGCTCCCGACGATCTCCGAAGAAGTCCCCCCGTCAACATCAACCTCCTCTCCCCCGAAGGACCGACGCCTAGCCCCCTGTGGGATCGCAGACCCCCCAACACCCGAGACGCGCCTGGAAAACTGCGCTCACAATCCCGGCCTCGCCTGGACGAAGGTGACTGACCCCCCTGACCGGAGGCCCGTGAACGAGCCACCCATGGCTACATTGCCCTACTTAACCGACTGGTCGGACAGGCGGTCCCCCTCCTGATTTTGGGGCCCTCCCGACCGCGACTCGGATTGAACCCGTTTGGAACCTGTTTTCTGTGGTCCGCAAGTTATGTTGATCCCCACCCATGGTTCTGGGGTAATCCCTTTAGCGGACTGCCTTGGTGTTATACAAGGTCATAATTGACTTTTATGGTAATTCCACAAGGGTTTTTCACATTACTGCTCTGACAGGTGAAGTTCAGGCTCCACCTCACCTCATTACATCGAGGATTCCGGCCCTAGCCCGCC